AATTAAGATAAACAGAACAGATAAACAGAAATTAAAAGAATTTACCAAAACCCGACCAACCTTACAAAAAATACTAAAGGGAGTTTTTTGGACAGATATCCAACAATGGCAAATAACAATCCGAGACTAACAAACATGACAATATGATCATCCAGAACTCAATCCGGATAAAGAAGTATTCAAAATTCAACAAACATACAAGACTGAAAATGGGGAACCAGAGACATCAGTTTGCAACAAAAACAGCAACAATAAACTATAAAGTAAGAAGAGGGAATAATGTAGTTACAGCCATTCCAAATAAAGGGGAAATCAAGTAGATTTCAAGAAAAAATAAACCTAACTTTAACCCTAAAACTAGACCAACCCTTATTCATCGATGTAGCCCAACCCCTACTACTAGCATTGATCCTAGTCCTAACACTAAACAAAGTTGTGGGCCTTGCTTAGACATAGCCATAGTCCTAACCCTAACTCCTGATTCCTACTCTCCACTTACTCCCCACCCCAAATAAAAGTTAAAGTGTTCAAGAACAAAGATGTCAGCTTGAAGTCTAAGGTGTACCTGACCCAAGACATGGTATTTCAATGGCCTCATGTGCAATGTGAAAGTTATACAATGAATAAGGAAAATTGTAGAAGAAACCAAGCATTTGAATTATGATGTTGATGTTGACAAAGAATATTGAAATTACCATGGACTGCCAGAACAACAAACAAATCTGTCTTGGAATAAGTACACCCAGAATGATCCTTAGGAGACAGGATAGCGACACTTGGCTTCTAATGCTCAGACATATTATCAGGAGGGAGCAATCCCTGGAGAAGGACATCATGCTTGGAAAAGTGGAGAGTCAGAGAAAAAGAAAACAACTCCCCAATAAGAAGAATTGATACAGTGGTAGCAGCCATGTGCTCAAACGTAACAACAATTATGAGGAGGACACAGGACCAGGTAGAATTTTGTTCTGTTGTGCATAGGATTGTTATGAGTCAGAACTGACTCAAGGACACCTAACAACAACATGACAATGAGGGTACTGTCTTTTGACCCATCTGTGTTCAAGTTATAACTGGATCTTTCCCATAATTGTTACCATTATTTTATACTCTTTCATAACTTTGATAGAATGTATGTTTTATTGAATTGAGTAAATTGACTAAATAATATGAGCACAGATAAAAGTGAAATTTAGAAATAAGATTATATGAGGATAATGAAAGTAGATTTCTCCTGTTCAAATCTCAACGTGCACATGGCATTTTATTAGCTAGCTGATATTTTTGTTAGTATCTCTTTATTAACTTTTTCATTATACTCAGGAAAATATAGGTCAAAATCTCAGGTTCTTAAGGTCAAGGGGACAGGCAGGGTAATAGAAATAAAATATGAACACATGCTCATACGTAGAAACCTAAATGTGTTTGACAAGTTTGGGGATATTTTAACAGACTTTTCCCTCCCCCACCCATTCATTGTGTTTAGTGCTATAAATAACAAACCTTGATAATTTCCTGTATTATGATGACAAAGCACACACAAATGACTTGTTATGTCATATACTGAGCAATATCGTCTTTCCGTGAGTTCACAGGTTGCCACATGGACATTTTCCAACAACGTGCATTTTCAGATGTGGATGTGGCCAGAGCTGTCACTCCAGATGCGTTTGTATGTCGAATCATTTGCACCTATCATCCCAACTGCCTCTTCTTTACATTCTATACAAACACATGGCATATACAATCACAAAGGTGAGTATTAATATGCATCATTTGCTGTTATTTCATCACTTTAATTTTATACTTTCAGGTATTAAAAGTGTATCCTTTTCCCTCTAAACAGTTGAATCTGCAGTTTAGATGGATACTTTTCTACTAGTTGTGGAATATTTAAGACAAGAGTAGACTTTTCTTCCTGCATCTGTCACGTAAAATAAAATTCCATTGCATTAACAAAAGAGTCATTAGAATAACAGAGAGGATGTTTGATGCCTTTCTTACTGTTCTGAATGTGTTTATATTAGCTTGATTGTTGTTGTGAAGTACCTTCAAGTAGTGACCCTGTGTAGGGTTTCTGAGGAGCAGCTGGTGAGCTTGAACTGCTGACCTTGCAGTTCAAACAGCTTTGCTGTCTGGTGCATTAAGCCTCTGCGCCACACCAGGACTAGAAGTAAAAACCTCTCACCAGCAGAATAAACATGAAGCTTGTTGGTTCCAACACCTCTCTGATTAAAAACTACAGTCCTATTAATCCTGATTAAATTTCTGGTTGGCCCTCGTTACCCTTAGAGCGCCCACTGCTTTTCTTTATACACAACATGGAGCGATAAGAAGGGCATGCCCTTACATAATAGCATCAGCCGCGGAAATCCCCAGAATTTGTTTTTTTGTTTTTTCTTTTTTTTCTTTTCTCTTTTTATTATAAGGTGTGACTTTACCATGATCCTCTTTTCGGGCTATCCATGCCTATCAGTTTTCTCCAGGAGGAGGATTTGGTTTGATTTACATTTAATCTCTATAATTAATTAGTGTTTTGTACTCTGAATTACTTTGAAGAGAGTTTCTCAGAAGATTAAAATTTACAGAGGTGCTTTTTTGATTAGGTGTTTTTATGTTTGACTAAGGCTTTTAACGTAGTTTATTTCTCTCTCTTTCTTTCCCCCTCTCTCATTTTAATAGAAATGTTTGTTTCCTTAAGACTTCCAAAAATGGAACACCGAGTTCCTCTACTCTACAGAAAAATGCCATATCTGGATATAGCCTCTTAACCTGCAAAAGAACTTTGCCTGGTAACGCGATTCAATAATAACATCACATAACATGTGATCAGTTTTATGATCTTCTAACAAGTAAATGCTATGAAAGAATTCTTATATCAGAGACTTGTGCAATTGTAGTTTATTACTTTTCTCATTGTGTACCTTTCTACATTTATAATGGGCACAGAACAATGCCATTTCAAAATTTACCCTGGAGTTGATTTTGGAGGGGAAGAGTTAAATGTGACCTTCGTTAAAGGAGTGGATATTTGCCAAGAGACTTGTACAAAGATGATTCGCTGTCAGTTTTTCACTTATTCCTTACTCCCAGAAGACTGCCAGGAGCAGAAGTAAGTGAAAAGTTATTTTGTAAAGACAGTTGTCAGGACAACTTCATGTACTTTTCACACTGTAAAGGTTTCATCTTTAATCTGCTTACTTGATTTAGGTGTAAATGTTCTTTAAAATTATCTTTGGATGGTTCCCCAACAATGATTACATATGAAACACAACGGAGCTCTGGTTATTCTTTGAGATTGTGTAAAACTGGAGACAGCTCTGGTGAGTAAACTTCACTTTTTTTCATTCTTTCTATGTATGGAATTCCATAATATAAGACTAAACACTTGCTTAAACTTGTTTAAACAAGTGTTTAGTCTTATATTATGGAATTCCATATCTTGTTCTCCTGGATACAAGAGGACTGTGATCCACATCTAATTCTTACCATTGGTGCCAACACTCTTTTTTTCAGTCTGCACACCAAAATTAAGTGCACGCATTGTTGGAGGAACCAGGTCTTCTTTGGCAGAGTGGCCCTGGCAGGTCAGCCTGCAGGTAACACTGAAAACCCAGAGCCATATGTGTGGAGGGTCAATCATTGGAAACCAATGGGTCCTAACTGCTGCCCATTGCTTTGATGGGTAAGTTCTAGATGGATCTTATCTACTTGTCTTTTTATTTGATACATTTGTAATCAATTTTTTGATCATGATGTAAGATTATTAATAAAGAGTTTTTCTTTTTTAAATTTGAAGTATTTTAAAGCAGGACTGGTATTCAATAAATCTATTACCCGTAGAGCCCAAGCAGACTAATTGGATCCATCAGATATACAGTGGTCCATGTACAGGAAAGGAACTCCTGATACTATTCTGCTTTCAATAATAACTCCAAAATGCCCTAATTGGTGCCTGCTCCATCACCACTACCCATATGTATTCTAAGATACCAAAGACTTGTGCTTCAGGCCCATAGAAATGTTAACTTTTGCTCTTTGATTCACAAATGTACTACAATATTAATAACAATGATGATAAAGTAAAATGAGATATACTTTACTAGTGTTTGTTTTTCAATGTACATAATGTTTCTAATTCGTTGAGAAAATCGTACACATGGAATGGTTTTAAAGTTTTCAGTACTTAGGCTTTGTAGTTAGACATAATGATGTTGGAGTCACAGCTCTGTCACTGACTAGAGGTATGACCTTGAGCAATTTATAAAAGCTCCATTGAGTTAATTTTTTGATAGATATGTAAACTATGAATCATAACTGCATTAATTGGAAAACTAAGTGACAGACTTAAAATGTGACATTTCCGTCCCAGTTATTTTTAGAAAGCAAAGTAAAGGAGAATAGGAATAATATCAAAGGTCAATTTCTCTGGCTTCAATAGCTATTTATCTTTCCCTCTTAGGCTTGCCTGGCCAGATATTTGGCGTATTTATGGTGGTATTTTAAATATATCTGAAATAACAAAAGAAACACCTTTCTCACAAATAAAAGAGATTATTATTCACCAACAATATGCAGTTTCAGAAGGTGGCCATGATATTGCCTTAGTGAAACTGGAGACTCCCTTGAATTATACTGGTATGTGGAATATTTACAACTGAAATACTTTGGTTTAAATTTGCACACCAGTCGGAACGAGAGGACAGAATCTGGAGGGGTTATCTTTATAGTACGCTTGGTGACGTTGGGAGATAGGTGAGGGTTACCAAGGAGGGCAAGAGCTTGTAAGTACAAAAAATTCCTTCTACTTAAGGGGCAAGGAATTTTAATGAATTCCTTCAGATAGAAATATAACTGTTACTATGAAGGAGCTCTGGTAGCATAGTGGTTACGAATCAGGCTGTGGACCACAAGGTCAGCAATTCGAAACTACCAGCTATTCCATGGGAGAAAGATGAGGCTTTCTGCTCCCGTAAAGATTATAGCCTCGGAAACCCTGTTCAGGGTTGCTATGAGTCGGAATCGACTCCACGGCACATAACAACAACAACAACAACAATTATATTATTGCAGTCCTGATGTGGTGCTGTGGGATAAAGCACTGGACTGCAAGATTGGTTTGAACCACAAGGTCACCACTGCTCTTGGGAAACCCTATACAGGATCACTATGAGTTGGAAGCAACTCAAAAGCACTGAACAACAACAATGATACTATTGGAGTCCTGGTGTGGTGCTGTAGGATAAGCACTGGACAGCTAACCACAAAGTTGGAGGTTCAAACCTATTATACAAGGTCACTGTGAATCAGAACCAACTCGACAACACTGAACAACAATGATGACACTATTACAAGAAGGAGCTCTGGTAGCGTAGTGGTTACGAATCGGGCTGTGAACTGGAAGGTCAGCAGTTCGAAACTACCAGCTGTTCCGCGGGAGAAAGATGAGGCGATCTGCTCCCGTAAAGATTATAGCCTCGGAAACCCTATTCAGGGTCGCTATGGGTCGAAACCGACTCGACGGCACTTAACAACAACAACAATTACAATAATAGGCACAATCTTTGCCATCAGGGAAACATTGGACTTCCTTTGACCAGAGCATCAGAATTACCATTACTTTGGATTAAGGAATATCAGGAATATAGGAAGGTGGTTGGAACCAAATAACACTTTATTTTTCAGTTTTATCTTAAGTAGACAGAATAGTGCAGAAAGACGCTCTGGGAAGGCAATAACGTCATAGTTAGAGAAATTGAATCCCCTTGTGACCATTAATTATGTAACTTGGGGCTAGTTGCTTTTGCTCTTTGCACTTCGAATTTCCTCGCATGTAAAATGGGAATGGTGATTACCTCATTTATTTTATAATTAGTAAGTCAGTTAATAAATCAAAACACTTAAAATAGCGCATATAGCAGTGTAGATTGCTCTTATGCTTAAGGATGTTGTTGCTATTGTTGTTAAATACAGTCCAATCGATTCCAACTCATGGCAACCATATATAAGGTTTCCGAGGAGTCGCTGATGATTTTGAAGTGCAGACCTCTGGGGTTAGCAGTTCAGTACTTATCCTACAGAGCCATACCATTGTGTATCCTACATAAGAAACAAAATTTTGACAATGACTTTGGAAGTAAATTTGGGTTCTGAGATTTTTATTTAACCCAGAAAAATTTAACTACAAAAATGTCAAGTGCAAATGAACTCTGCTGATGAAAATTTTTTTCTTGAATCATTGACCTTAGAAATTGAGCAGTAAAGGGCTATTTATTCACGGTAATAACAAATAGAAGAAAAACATGGATTAAGTAAATAATGTGTTTTTAAAACTAGCTTCCTTAATTTTGCCTAATTAAATTCTTATTTCAAATTACTTTTCAGAACTCCAAAAACCAGTATGTCTGCCTTCCAAAGATGATACAAATACAATTTATACCAACTGCTGGATTACCGGCTGGGGCTTCAACAAGGAAAAAGGTTCTACATGACATTTTAAATGTTGGTCTTAACAAGTCTTATATGTTAAAATATATAGAATGGATCACTTTAGTCAGTCTCTGTCTATAATTGTACCCAAATTCCTGATCTTTCCAAAATATCCATTCCCAAATATTTATTCAGTGACACTTGAGAAGATGCATTTTGCCACAAACTGAAAAAACTTAAAAGGTAACCTTTAAAAACATCTTCATTGATTTGCTTGAATTCACCTAAGAACTGGGTCCATATAAGGCCTACATGTAGCACTGTAGGATAAACACTTGACTGCTAACCACGAGGTTGACAGTTCAATCCCATCAGTCACTCCTCGGAAACCCTACACAGGGTCACTATGAGTCAGAACTGACTCGACAGCACTTAACAATAACACAAAGCTTATAGAGCATATTTATTCCACTCCTGTTCTCTATATTGATAATGTTCTCATTCATCAATACTATTGTTTTCACTTAATATTAATGACCAGGGGTATAAGCAGGTATGTTGTCTTTCTTTATGACAAATTATTAATCTTTTCATAGACCCTTTTGGAAATCTGATAGTCTATGAACCAATTGTCAAATAATTATTTTCAATGCATAAAATAAAATAAGTACATTATTTGCTTTAGGATTTCACTCTTATTTTCATATTTACTAGATTTCCTCTCTCTGAACGTCTATATTTTTCATTTCATAGGTGAAATCCAAAATATTCTACAAAAGGCAAATATTCCTTTGGTAACTAATGAAGAATGTCAGAGAAGATATAGCGATTATGAAATAACCAAACAAATGATCTGTGCTGGCTATAAAGAAGGAGGGACAGATGCTTGTAAGGTAATACAATCATTATGGAAAAGCACACAGTCAGTTGCTTGAGAATATTCACCACAAAATATATTGTCTACTAGTATATTTCTTTATAGTTGTAAAATAATTCAAAGCCAAAGTGATCTGATCATTTCATTAAAAAAAAAAAATCTGTAACAAATTGGATACACATATGCCATAATCTCTGTGAGGGCATGCTGTATGCAAGAGAGGACAATTGTACACACTAACACTGTACTAAGAACATTATATTTTCCTAACACTGGGACGAAGGTGTCTCCATTTCTTTATTGAATTTACCTCAAAGGAAAAGAGGGAATCAACATAAAGTGGAATCTTAAACCATTAAATTAGATTGTTTTACCACATCCCATAGCTAATAAGCCTCGGGAGATACTTGAAGAATTTTAAGGAATTGTATGTATGTATGTGTGAAAGAAAGAACATTTTAAAGGTTTGTTGTTGTTAGGGGCCATCTAGTCAGTACCAACTCATGCGACCCTATGCACAACAGAATGAAACACTGCCCAGTCCTGGGCCAACCTCACAATTATTGCCACGCTTGAACTCATTGATGCTGCCACTTTGCCAGTCCATCTTGTTGGGGGTCTTTCTCTTTTTCTCTGACCCTCCACCCTACCAAACATGATATCCTTCTCCAGCGATTGGTCTCTCCTGACAATATGTCCGAAGTATGAGAGACAAAATTTGGCCATCCTGGTCTCCAAGGAGCACTCTGGCTGTACTTCTTCCAACACTGATCTGTTAGTTCTTTTGGCAGCCCATGGCACTTTCAATATTCTCCTCCAACACCATAACTCAAAAGCATCAATTCTTCTACGGTTTTCCTTATTCACTGTTCAGCTTTCACATCCATATGAGGTATTGAAAATACCATGGCTTGGGTCAGGCACACGTTAGTCCTCAAGCTGACATCTTTGCTCTTCCACACTTTAAAAAGTTCTTGTGCAGCAGATTTGCCTAATGCAATATGAGCTCTAGTAACATAGTGGTTACGACTCAGGTTGCTAACCACAAGGTCATCAGTTTGAAACTATCAGCCATTCTGTAGGAGAAAGATGAGGCTTTCTGCTCCCATAAGGATTTACAGCTTCTGAAATCTTATACAGGGTCACTATGAGTTGGAACCTAATACATGGCACACTATGGTTTTAAAGGTAATCACTTTATTAATTACTTATTTGAAGCATATTTGTCATAACTTTTTATCACCTTATTTTTCTATCCTCTATGATACAGGGAGATTCAGGTGGTCCCTTAGTCTGTAAACATGATGGAATTTGGCATTTGGTTGGCATCACCAGTTGGGGTGAAGGCTGTGCCCGCAGGGAACAACCAGGTGTCTACACCAAAGTGGCTGAGTACGTGGACTGGATTCTAGAGAAAACAGAAGATGGTGGTGGAAACTCTTTGATGAAGTCACCAGTGTGAAGAGGCTGTGTGGCGGTGGTGGAGAGCCCAGTTTGCAGCACTAGTTTTACACACCTGAGTTCAATTCAAATGCTCAGTCTTGTTGTCCTCATGTGCAAAACATGGAGAGTGGTGTCTACCTCACATCCTTGTAATAAGGCTAAAACGAGACACTACACACACAGCTACTGAAGTTAATGTCTATGCTGGGCATGGTTTCAGCATTCAGTAACTGGGAGCTAACAATGGGAAATAACTTTATTTGTCATGAAATAAAAAGACAACAGAACATGATTAGAATAGTGTTTTCCTCTGGTTATGAAGAAGAGCTAAGGATGAGTGACTCCAAAGTATAGCATGGTGCCTAAGAACACTCTAATCTTGCTGAGTATATTTCAAACACTAAATATATTTCAAAGATAGTAATTGCTTATATCTGCCTCACTTCCTTAGTCATTAAAACCTGTGGCATTGGGAGTGACAGAATTAGGTTTCATTCTGCCAAGTGGGAGAGAAGAAGCCTATGTAACATGGCTTTTGCATGGAAGATTAAGTTACCTGGTTCTGGAATAACAGTATACCTTTTCATTGTGATCTTCTGTTTCTGTTATCACAGCATCTACCCAAGGGTCCAAGTGGGGTGTACCTGAGAGACCAGTCTGGTTTTCTCTGCAACACATACATTTCACAACCTTTGTGGAGGGCAGGGGTCTTCTTTGTAAAAGACAGTCATTATAGTTGCTCAGGGATATTGGGTTCTGCAATGGTCTTTGAAGTAGCATTATTAGGTATAAAGTACTTCATAAAATGTTCTCAAATTTATGGTAGTAGGAGATAGCTGTAGAATGGATGATATAAATTTGTATGCAACACAAATGCTCAACTTGCCAGTGGTTACCACAATCAATACCAAGTCACTTGGTTTAGTACACTGAAAGGGAATAATATGCACATAGATTTAATCTTTTTCACGAAATAGTGCTACAGTTAAATATAAAAATAGAAAAGTATAATTTTTTAAAAGAGATAGAATTTTTCTTCCATACTCAGATGCACTGAACAGTACAAAGGGTTAAAAATGGTAAGAACTAAAGGAAAACTATTCAGTGACTGGAGTAATTCAGCTGCAAAATGAAGACTTAAAAGTTTACTCTATTTTTTAAAAATCTGACTTTTTTTGATAAAAACAAAACAAAGTCTGCAACTTTTGTCTTTGCTTGCAATAAAGATATCGAAGATATTGATCTTTCTTCTGTGTGGATGTTCTTTTAAATTAAAAGGGGAAAAAAAGTTTCTAGTAAGGAAACTCTATTTCAGTTTATAGTATTGATAACGCTAAAGGGTAATTGAAGAGGACTTTGGATTGTTTGCTGGGTAAACATTTGGGCTTTTGTTTATCAGGGAATAAGCTAGTTTGATGAAAACAGGGAGTAGAGTTTTGAAATGTGAATTACCTTGATTGTTCTTCTAATTTTGAGCTATCCTTGCATACCTGATATGAACCCCACTTGACAGTGATGTTTTTTTTGTTTTGTTTTGTTTTGTTTTTTTTGATATGCTGTTGAATTCTATTGACTAGGATTTTATTTTGCATCTATGTTCATGGGGGATATTGAGGTATAATTTTCTTTTCTAGTGTTATCTGTGCCTAGTTTTGGTAGGACAGTTATGCTCATTTCATAAAATGTATTTAGGAGTTTTTATAGCCTTTTCTAAATTCTGGTATAGTTTAAATAGAATTTTTGTCATCTCTACTCTGAACGTTTTGTAGAATTCTTCAGTTAAGCTTTTGGAGTCTGGATTTTTTGTTGTTGTTGGGATATTTTTTATAACTTGATCGATTTTTCTGTTGTTATAGGTCTGTTCAAGTGTTCTACTTCTGTCTGTGTTAGTTTAGGTAGATTGTGTGTTTCTAAATACTTGACCATTTCTTCTAAATTTTCAAATTTGTTGGAGTACAGTTCTTCATGTTGTTGTTATTATGTGCCATTGAGCCAGTTTTGACTGCTAGTAACCCTAAGCATGAAACACTGCTCACTCAGTCCTGTGTTATGAGGACACACAATTGTTATGCTTCAGCCCATGGCTACTGACACTGTGCCAATCCATCTTGTTGGGGGAGTCTTCCTGTTTTTCATGGACTGTCCACTTTACCAAGCATGATATCCTTCTTCAGCGATTGGTCCCTCCTGATAACTTGTCGAAAGTATGAGAGACAAAGTCTCTTCATCCTGGCTTCAAAGGAGCATTCTAGCTGTGTTTCTTCCAACACAGACTTCTTTGTTCTTTTGAAAGTCCATGGTGTTTTAAAGATGCTTCTCCAACACCGTAACACAAATATATCAATTTTTATATGGTCTTCCTTACTCATTAGCCAACTTTCACATGAATATGAAACTAGTGAAAATACAGTGGCTTGGATGAGGCACACACTTTAGTCCTCAAATTGGTTTCTTTTCTCTCTTGAACACTTTAAGGAGTGCTTGTGCAGCTGCAACAGACTTGCCTAAGGCAATATGCTGATCAATTTTGTGACTGCTCCTTCCGTAAGTATTGATTGTGGATCCAAACAAAATGAAGTCTTTGAAAACTTCAATGTTTTCTTCATTATCATGATGTTATTTACTGGTCCAGTTGTCAGAGTTTTTGCTTTCTCTACATTGAGGTGCAATACATACTGAAGGCTGTAGTCTTCAATCTTCATCTATATTTTAAATCCTTTTCACTTCCAGCAAGCAAGGTTGTACCATATGCATTTTGATGGTTGCTAATGAGTCTTCCTCTAATCTTGTTGCCAAGTTCTTCATATGATTCGCCTTCTTGGATTATTTGCTCAGTATACAGGTAAAAGAAGTATGGTTAGAAAAAAAAACAAAAAAATAATCTGGCACACACTTTTCTGGCTTTTAAACAATTCAATATCCACTTGTTCTAATAACTGAATAATAAGGTTCCTCAATGGAGTCCTGGTGTCACGC